TTAATATGAGTCGTTAACGTTGGACAAGGCAGAAGTTGTAAACCTCTTTTAATCTATTTAATCGAATTTTCCTTCACAGTACAAAATGAGGTTCTTCGTGGTCGTGTTACTCGTGTCCTTGGCTGTGTTCGTTTCTCCCGCCATTAAGCCGGCGTGTGGACAGAAAAACAAGCAAGCCGGACAGGCAAGCTAATGATTTCATTAACAATTAAAATAGAAGCCCGAACGATTGGCTGTTGACTTGAAGACCAGGAGAGCGAGAGGTTCATTGTTTAATTTAGTCAAAACGTACTAATTTCACATATATGGATTAAAATAATTGTGAAATTAGGTTCAAAACGTGACTTTAAAAGGACGGTGCCTGCTAATCGAGAATAAATAATATTTTTAAATGACTATGCGAATTGTTTTATCCTATCGAAGGGCTGTAAAATTCTGTTAGAAAAGTAGGGATCACCATGCATTTAAAAGAAATAATAAAGGTTAAAGAATCGTTAAAAAGTGATGACGTCATGATTTTACTAACACGAGAAAAAACGATTTTTTTTTTCAAAAGATTTTGATAAATTTCCATCCTAAATCCACCTAAATGACTGACAATTTGTTTCTTTACTGGAATATACCCCTAGTACCATGACTCTAACAGTTGGCTTTTAAATATATAATTTCTTAGCTTCGTGCTCCCTATTTTGCGATCATTAGGTACATACAGATTGTGCCCATATTCTTTTAAAATGCAATTATTGAGGTTAATTAAATAATAATTTGGCATTTACTTTATAATTTAAACCGGAAAAAAATTGGATCGGAGTATCCAGGTAGTTTTAAGAGATACGAATTTTTAAAGAATATCATTAGGGATAAGTCTTATACCGAATGCGTGACAAGCGTTACATAGCATACAAAACGGCGTGACAACGCTGTTTTCGGCGTGTTTGCACGTCAAGCTAAAGCATGACGCTTCTCTGCCATCCAAGCCAAAATTACAGAAAAAAATCTACATTTTAAAGCTTTAAAATTCCAAGAAGACTATTGGGTTAGAAGTGAAGCTATTGTTGACTTTTTACTTTAATGCAGAGTGGAATTTTCCAAATATTTAGTACGTAATGAGGTAGTTTGAAATAAAATTTCCGATGCAGCTCAAATGAAAACTCATGTTAAAGGCGAAATATGGCCATTCGCGGAGTTTTGATTCAAAAAAGATCCATAACATTTCATATGGGCCTTAATAGCAGCTAGTGCCCAAGCTCGCGCGGCCAAAACATCGAAATCATGAGATTTTTCACACCTTTTTAGCTTATAGCCCCGAATACAGTACGGTGACACCCAATTTTTTTTTCCAATTTTTACATTGCACATAAAACAATCTTTTAAATTCTTGATAAAAAATGTCCTTCCAAGGCAAAACATGGTAATTTTGACTTTTTTTGAGGTGATGTATACAAGAAATTCATGGAGTACCACTTTCAAATCTCCGTGAAATAGCTCAACCCATGCTGTCCCAGTGGAATAAATTGATGAAAAATATAGCATGAAGAGTATTTGGCTGGAATCATAAAGCAAATTAATAAAAATCATATACACTTTGTCGCGAAAGTTTTTTTCTGGAAATTTGATGTTCTATTTTTTAGCTCAAATAGGGCAAAAATTAGTCTCCCCCACAGCCGCTTTCAGTGTCGTCACGCAACGCTTTCTCCCCTGAATAGCTACTCAGGGGAGAAAACGTTACGTGACGACACTGAAAGCGGCTGTGGGGGAGACTAGGCAAAAATTGGCCTAATACCAACCCCAACAGTTCCAGAATGAGCACGGTGACCCCAATTTTTTTTCTTTTTCTTTTTTTTTTTTTTTTTCATTTTTGACTATTTTTTTTTTTAGTCTTTAAGTAGAAAAAGTTTTAAAAAATTCTATCGAAGCTAGGGAAGTGTGAGTGCCAAACTACCTTAAATATGATAATTTTACCTGGTTCAAAACAAAGACATTATGTAAAAAGCATCGGCGTTATACTCATGGTTTTTACAGTGTTTATACAAAAAAATACATTAAAGATCACTAGTATTTAGCTAATCCGAGCTCGAAGAAAAGACTGGGTCGAGTTGGTATTGCAGTACCTTCTTGGGCAGTTTTATGTGAAATATTTTCAAGATGGTGGCTATTTCGTCCCCAAAATTGTCCAAAAAAAAGGACACTTCAATGCCAACTCGACCGAGTTTTTTCTAATAAATAGGCTAATAAATGTCTAATAAATACCGCGGTTGCCGGATGTGCAATGAACTCGGCTCTGTATCGTGCAATATTCAGCGCATGCGTGTATTTGGAAACAAATCACACTCACATAGCAGTCTCTAACGCATAATCAAAACATGAGCATCATACTTTTTAGTCAACGTCATGTCTGGTGGGTCGTCCTGGTATCCCTGGTCTACACGGTACGCCCGGTGCTCCTGGACGAGACGGACGAGATGGCAGACCAGGTACTCAAGGTAAACAAGGTCCTCGAGGGTTTGACGGGACTCCAGGAAAGCAAGGACCTCCCGGAGCTGCTGGTCCACCAGGTAACACTGGTCCTCAAGGTCCTAAGGGTGACGCTGGTCCAAAAGGAGAAAAGGGGGAACCTGGGGCGAGAGGATTCTCAGCCTATTCGAACTGGAAAGAATGTTCGTGGACCAAAATCAGCGAAGGAAAAGACAATGGGCTGATCAGGGTATGTACGTAAATTTAGGAAAACATGCTTTTTTACCTAGTATTTAACAACCTTTCCCATATTTTTCCTTTTTCTACTGTGGTTCTCTTCACATTTAATTAGCTTCAAAGGCTTTTTGATTAATATTTGTGTTGGGTGTTTATCTGACACAAAAGGATCATCCACCTCTTATACTATGTATGTAAAGCAGCGTATTCCCAGATCAAGAGCCAATGCCATTACACCATTTGCTGTTCATTAACCGCAAAGGAATATTCATTAAAGCGAAGAACCATTGTCATTAGAGCGAACAGGCATACAATAA